AGCTTTCTTCCAGCAGTCACTGTCCTTAGCTTCTTCAAACGTTGTCGGCTCCTTGACAGAGAGGAAACACAGTGCCGCTTCACCTTCCACCTCTCGGGTCTCATCATATATTTCCTGCAAGCTGCGGTATCTCAAAGGTCTTTCAGAACTTGCTAAGGATTCAGGAGTACCATCGTGTGCAACGATGTTGTTGTCAATTCTTGGTGTACTTGCTGGCGCAACTATCTCGTTGTTGCTTCCTGGAGTTCCACCAATACCTGAGCTGACCACGGGGGCTGGAGTTCTCGGCTCTTGCTCAGCTTCTGCTTGCGCCGGTTTATAATGCACTGTAAACACCTCATTTGAGTTGTACGTCTTGTGACTTTGTGTGGTGGACGACTCCCAGTTCCATTCTCTATCTTCATCAAAAATTATGTCCATGCTCACATGTAGCTTCTTTTGGTCTGGATCATACACACGGTACGCCTTCGATCTAGGTTCGTAGCCGAAGAAAACCATCGGTACACTTATATCTGACAGCTTCTTCAAGTGTGGGCTCACTGTTTTAACATGTGCTAAGCAACCAAACACTCGCAAATGTTGGACATTCGGCTTTCTTCCCGTCCATGCTTGATATGGTGTCATTCCCTCCAGACTTTGGGTCGGCGCTCGATTAAGCAAATATACAGTAGTCCTCATAGCTTCTCCCCAGTAGATCGCCGGTACATGCTTGCTCTTCAATAGGCTTCTTGCCATGCCCAACACCGTTTGGTTTCTCCTTTCGACCACGCCATTCTGTCGAGGAGAGTACGGCAGAGTCAGATATCGCTTGATTCCCAACTCTTCGCGGTAAGAAGTGAATTCATTTGAGGTAAATTCACCTCCCCGATCTGTTCGAAATGCCTTCGGTTTGTTCTCAGTTTCCGCCTCAACACTTGCTTTGAACTTCTTGAAAGCGTCAAATGCATCGCTCTTGCTTTTTAGCATTACTACCCACATGTATCTACTATGATCGTCCACGAGTAGCATAAAATATTTGTTGCCAGCCGGCGTAGCGGGTGTGATCGGGCCACAGAGGTCGCCATGCACGAGTCCAAGCGGTTCGGCTCGAAAACTTGAGCTGTGAGGGAAGGAAGTTCTGTGGTGTTTGCCAATGATGCAACCATCACAGATCTGTGTCACGTGCTTTACGACAGGCATGTCGATCACCATCTCCTTCAGGGCCAACTTCCTCAGGGCTGGAAAGTTCAAGTGCCCATACCGAGCGTGCCAGCGCCATGCATCATCTCCTATGCTTCCCATCAAGCACACTGGATGAGCCACCTTGAGGTTGAGCACATACAACCTATTCTTGGACTTCTTCACGTTGGCCAATAGCTTGCTGCTCCTGTCATAGATGCGCAGATGGCCTCCCTCCATTACTATCTTGCACCCATTTTCGTCCAGTTTGCCCAAGGCTTATGATATTGCTGCATAGCTTTGGTATATAATACACATTTGTTAGAAGTCTATGCTCACCATTTTGGCATTGAAGTATGACAGTTCCTCTCCCTTGTATCTCCACGACCGAGTCATCGCCGAATTTGACTCTGCCGCACACCTTCTCATCGAGGTCTGAAAATTTCTTTTTACAACCAGTCATATGGTTGCTAGCACCAGTATCCAGGTACCAAATGTCCGTCTCGAAGACCACTTCTTCACTGCTCAGACTCGGCTTCACATTTTCTTCGTGAAACATCATCTTTTCTCCCTCTTCTTGAGTCGTGTACAGGGACCCGCACACCTCGATCAGAAGCAATGCAGGTTCATCGTCGTGTTGCTTTTCAACAAAATGGGCTCTCTCCTCTTTCTTCGGCTTTCGGCATTCAGAGGCGTAGTGACCATGGTTCTGACAGTTGTAGCAGCGAACCTTCGCCTTGTCAAACTTGTGATACTTCTTGCCAGAGTCGTTGGATTGCTCCTCATTGCCATGCCTACGTCCCCGGCCATGGCCGCG